ATCCATCCTGTGCACCTGCAGACCCACTGGAGCCTGCACACTTAAGGTGGCTGAACAGGGATGTGCTTGGCACAGAGGCCCAGTCTTCTGGATGTCTGACCCCAGAGCTGCTGTTAGTGAGGCTTGGAATCAACAGGCAGCCTGCTCTGGTGCCCTGAGAGGATGATTAGAGATTCCTTATTCCATCCTGATCCTCAAGGAAAATTAATATCTTTGTGCTGTCTGAAAAAAAAACTGGAACCAAGGACCACAGCAGGAAAATACAAAGGTAGGGCTTTCCCACCCACACTGAGAACTTATAGACATTTTAGGGAGAGAAATCCTGCAAAAAGCAGGAATCTGAGTTTCTTCCCTGAAAGGCTGAGCAAAGGGCTTCAGGGCCCTTCAGTGTTAGAACAACAGGGAGATGAGTGGCTCAAGCTTAGCCACGGCATTAAGGAGAGTGGGAGGACTCAAAGCCCAGAGGGACGGGGCTTTTCTGAAGTCCCTCTCTCCCTAATAGCTGGTCCTGCTCTCCTGTATCTCTTCCACGCCTTGCAAAACATCATGACGAGCCCTGGCTCCCAACCACGTCATCCCTCATACGCTGGTTCTTACAGGGCATTGGGACGGCAGACTGCTTATCTCATAGTAGAGCCAGTTCATCTGCCTCCTCTTGGCCAGACCTGGGTCCAGCATGTTCCTGGGAATTTTCAATCAACCCACTCAAAATAGAGGGAATACAACCCCTGTCCACCAGGGGGCAGTTGATCACAGCTTGGAGCACAGCCCAGGGGTCTTAGATCATCCTCACCAGAGGTTCACCTTGGCTGGCTGCAGGAAGTCCACCCACTCTAGGATCTCCTTGTATTCTGTTTTCTCCTGCAGGATTGAAGGTTGGAGTTCACCTGTGGATTTCACACATGCATGCTGGATGTCTTGCTTCTGCGCCACCCGCTGCTATTTATGCTGGGCTGATATTTTCCCCAGCTGGGCCACACATGTCTACTCTTGTAGTACCACAGAGCGCAGGTGCTTTATGCAGTCATAATTTGGGAGCTGACCTTTAGATATCTCCAGGCTGTATTGGCTGCTTCAAGACTCCATGAATAATAGTGGATAAGGTCCTGCCCATTCCTCTGGGAGCTGGTTATGTCATACCCCAGGTCACATCACCGAAACCCAGGTCCTTCCAAGTGCTGGGGACAGGTTCAGTGTTCACAATGCTCGATCCCCTTATGCCTCCACTCAGTGCCCATAGGCATATGCTCCAAGTGACCCGTCTGTAGGCTGCTCTCCAACTGAGCTTTCCTAGTGACAGGCTCCATGGCCAAGGGATGGCTGTGATGACAGCATAAGGTGTCACAATCAGGAGCACTCACCCTGGGTGTGGTCTGCACTCTGCATACCCCAGCCTGCCTGGAGCTGAGGCCACAGGGACACAAGGATAGGCCCTGTTCTGGGTCCCAGCCTCTCCC